GTCTCCAGAACTCCTTAAGACCATGGCACGGGTTGGAATAAACCCAAGTAATGACAAAATTTGGTAAAGGGCATGTGCCCTTGGAGAGTGGAGCCTGGGGGTTTGCCTCCGGGGTTACTGGATGGCAGCAGGAATGGGAACCCACATTATTCCTGTCAAATGCTCTTCAGCCACGTTTGAAAATTCAAATCAAATCAGGGATTTGAGGAGAGATTGATTTTCCAAGTTCTAGGGTGAGACCCTCTGGCAGTTCTGCTGGATGTTTACGGGGTTTGGGGGTTTTTTTGGTACTTTTTATTTAGTTTACCCCTCCAGGTGACTGCATCGGTCTTAGTGTGAGCATGTGCATGAGGACAGCAAGGCTGGTTTATTGGGAAAATGGCATTTGCAAGCTCTGAACCTTGTTGGGAGTCCAGGACCTCCACAGGCCTGGAGCATCCAGGCTTCACATCAGCATTAGTGCTGGGTCCCGGCTCCAGCAATGACCCCGGGGTTCTCCAGGGACAGGGAATTGCAAGGCTTTGTCCTTTGTGTGGGGGAAGGAGGCTCTTCTTGCTCCTGTCGGTTTCTTGTTCGTGCAGCTCCACTGGCTTTTTGTAATGGGCTGGTGTTAATAGGAACAAGGGAGTTTTCGGGCTCTGCTCCCTTGGATCTGAAGGAAATCTTCTCAAGTAGGGATTGCAACCCAGCCCCAGCCAAGCCTGTTGGGAAATGAACGCTGTGCTGAGTCAGCCTCTGGTAGGGCATGTTTAAAGAGCCATAATTTCTTTTGCTGTTCTCCCATGTGTCCATTTTACGCCGTATCTGACAGATTTCTGAAAGGCGCTGAGCTCCTCTAATCCCTGATGAAGGCTGTGCCGGGTGGAGGAACTAATTGCCCTTGGAAATGAGCCTGTGGGTAACTGGAGTCTGACCCTTTCTGCCCTCCCTCCCTCTTCCTTGCCCTCACAGAGGGGTTGTGTGTCATCACCGTAGGATTTACTGCCTTCGGTGTGAGGACCTCGGGTGGGAGCAGGCTCCAGGGGAAGAGTTATGGCCGCACAGAAGGGCCGGCTTCCCACGTACACCACAGAATTCCATGGGGTTGGAAGAGACCTCTGGAGATCATCCAGTCCAACCCCCTGCCAGAGCAGGGCCACCCAGAGCAGGTCCCACAGGAACGTGTCCAGGTGGGTTTGAATGTCTCCAGAGAAGGAGACTCCACCACCTCCCTGGGCAGCCTCTGCCAGGGCTCTGCCACCCTCACAGGAAGGAAGTTCCTCCTCACGTAGAGATGAAACTTCTTGTATTCAAGTTTGTGCCCATTTCCTCTTGTCCTGTCCCTGGGCACCACTGAAAAAAGCCTGGCCCCATCCTCCTGACACCCACCCTTGAAGTATTTATAGGCGTTGATCAGATCCCCCCTCAGCCTTCTCTTCTCCAGTCTAAAAAGACCCAAGTCCCTCAGCCTCTCCTCATAAGGGAGATGCTCCAGGCCCCTCATCATCTTTGTAGCCTCTGCTGTCCCCTCTCCAGCAGTTCCCTGTCCTTCTGGAACTGGGGAGCCCAGAACTGGACCCAGTGCTCCAGATGGGGCCTCCCCAGGGCAGAGCAGAGGGGCAGGATGACCTCCCTCTACCTGCTGCTCACACTCTTCCTGATGCCCCCCAGGATGCCATTGGCCTTCTTGGCCACCAGGGCCCATTGCTGGCTCTTGGTTGTCCTGTTGTTGTCCAGCAGGACTCCCAGGTCTTTCTCCTCAGAGCTGCTCTCCAGCAGGTCACCCCCAACCTGTCCTGGTGCAGGGGGTTATTCCTCCCCAGGTGCAGCACCTACACTTGCCCTTGTTGAAGTTCATCGGGTTCCTCTCTGCCCAGCTCTCCAGCTGGCAAAACCCATCTAGAAGACATTATCACTTTCTTTTTTATTAAGCTGGTGTTGACTCTTCAATCTGTGTTGAAAGTGTTGTATTTGGGCAGTAGGAGTGTGTCTTTCAGAGCGGTGTAGGAGCCATACGGGATTTCTCTCTTAGGTTGTTCCTCCCCTGGAACCAGAGGGCCTTGCCCAGGGGAAGCAAATGACTCTGGCTTGGCTTTTTTTTCCCTACCTGTCCCCAAGGAAACAACAGAAATGCTGTGTCTCTGGTGTGTGTCTACTGAGGGAAAAAGGGATTTTTAAATAGTGATGAACTGTGGTTTTCCCTTTAGTGCAGGAAGCCAATTGTTCATTAGCGATATATATTAGTAATTCTCTTATGAACCTTGTTGGTACATGAATCTGCTTTAATTCCTTTGTATCAACAAGAGCTGCAGGTATGGATGTCTTCATTACATTAAAAAAAGGAAGAAAAAAAAAAGAGGGAAGAAAGCAATGCTTGCAAATTGGCCTTTGTTTCCAAGGAAACAAACTCGACATGCTTGAGCTGTGCGAGATGCAAAGAGGGCTGGCTTCAGCAGACGTGCCGCGGGATTATCTGGGCTGAATATTATTTTTAAACTACCTCCCATTTAAAGGCGAGGGAGAGGATGGGAATAGAATTTGTCGGGCCGGGTTTACCAATCTGTGCGTCATGGAAGCGCTGCGCCGTGTCTCGGAGCCGCCTGGTGCCGCGGGGAGACATCAGAACAGGGGTCCCTGGGGGATGTCCCCAGAGAAGGGACAGCCTGGGGACACACCGGCCCTTCCCTCGGTGAAACCCGTCCGTGGAAATAGATCTAAGCACCCGCTCTCTGTGCCAAATTGTTAAGGTTTAGCCTTGGGTCACTTCACCAAACGTTTTGTGCTCTGAAAATAATGTTGTAGAACACAACCGGGCACAAAAGGCCGCCTGGCGTTCAGAAGTCAAATGGCAATATTGTCCCAAAATAATCTGCTGAAGAGCTCGATGGTGGGGACTGGGCTGAACGTCTTGGGGAGGAGATGGGAGAAGGGCATTAGGAGCTGTAGCGCGTGGGACGTGAGTGTGCTGTGGGGCTGATGGAGAGCGTGGCTTTAACCTGCCTTATTGCGTTGGACAAGAAAGTCTCGTAGTGTTTTATGAGATTCTTTGGGCCCCCTACCATAAAAAAGACATTGAGGTGCTGGAGCGGGTCCAGAGAAGGGCGACAAAGATGGTGAAGGGCCTGGAGAATAAGTCTTCTGAGGAGAGGCTGAGGGAGCTGGGGGTGTTCAGCCTGGAGAAGAGGAGGCTGAGGGGAGACCTTCTTGCTCTCTCCAACTCCCTGAAAGGAGGGTGTAGAGAGGTGGGGGTCGGTCTCTTTTCTCAAGTCACAGGCGACAGGACAAGAGGAAATGGCCTCAAGTTACACCAGGGGAGGTTCAGGCTGGATATTAGGAAAAATTTTTTCACTGAAAGGGTTCTCAGGCATTGGAATGGGCTGCCCAGGGAGGTGGTTGAGGCACCATCCCTGGAGGTGTTCAAAAGCCGGGTTGATGTAGTGCTGGGAGGTCTGGTTTAGTGATGATGCTCCTTGTTTGTTGTGTGGGTGTCTATTTTTGTCAGTGAGGTTGACGGTTGGACAAGATGATCTTTAAGGTCCCTTCCAACCTAGAGGATTCTGTGATTCTGTGATTCCCTTGGAAGTTTGGTTCAGGAAAAAAAGCTGGGTTTTGGCCTTCATCTGTCACCCTCATTTTTTCTGAAATGCTGTGTTGATACAGTAACTTGATATTTTATTTTTTTAAAATATATATTTTTTATATATTTTTTTGTTAACCTTCCTTTGAAGAATCAGAACTCAGCATTGCAGCAGGTGCTGTACATCCATGGCAGAACCCTCAGCCCGTGTGTGCAGGGGAAGCGAGCACCAGCGCTCAGCAGAGCACTCACAATCCATGGATTTGCAACATCCCAGAGTTTTCTTTGGCTTGGGCCCCACCTGAGGAATAAGGGTCCACGTTAAAACTTCGGCTGGGATTAAATAACCAATTTTTGCCCTGGCCTGCAGAGCGTTGCTTCTGCAACAACTCTCTTTGCTTCTTGTTGTAGCTCTGGGAGCTGGCGGGGGGTGTGTAGGGGCCACACAAAGGATATATGGGGAAATATGAGTTTTTAAGGAAAAGTGAAGATCCATGTGCAGATAATTCACAGCGTGCAGGGCTGTCGTCCTCTGGCCATGAAAATGACCAGTGGACCTCAGTGTCTTGTGGCTTGGCATATTTTGTTGTTTGGAAAACTGGAAAGGATAAATAAAATTTAAAAATCCTCTATTAATTCTTTGAAATTATCTTACTGCATTGAGGAGACAAGGTAAGGATGGAGCGATTTCAGGGCTGACTCGTGGAAAACAAACCTGTCATAAAATTCAGGTCCTTGGGAAAACATAGCGTGGAGTGTGTTGTGCTGGAGTCTCTTTTCCCCCCTCTTTCATCCTGCTTTTTAACTTCCTTGCAAATGGAGTTAAAATAATCTTCAAGGTGATAGAGGGTAGACCGGGGTGGTTTAGCTTTAAGATGGATGGGAAGGACTATTTGCATTGCCAGCTAAAAGCCTCCGTTGAAGCCCGTTGGGGGGAAAGAAAATAATATTAATGGCATCTCTGAAAATATTGTTAATTTGTGGAAGGCCCAGAGTGAAAAATCTGCTGGTTTTTGAGTGTCACTGGGAAAGGCTCCTTTTTGCACAAGGCTTGCCTGAGACAGGCTTTTCCTTGCTTTTGTTCTAAAGCGAGATGCTCGCTGCCTAAAAAACGCCTGCCATCCCCGCAGCCAGAGCTTCACCTCCTCGACAGAGGATGGGAACAGGAAGGTTGGCCGGATCGGGATGAATCCTGCACCTTTATTGTTCATTTTTTTTTTCTTTTTTTTTTTTTTTTTTTTTTTTTTGTTTAATATCACTTCTTTTGGTCTATATTTTAT